TTATCAATAAGCATGGGCACCACTAGAAAAGGAGGACATACAGATCCAGAATGGTCTTTCGTAACCGTTTCTGCTCCGACGTTTGAACCGTTCCTCTCCACTCCGACATCCGCGCCATGGTCTTTGCAACGTTCCGGTCGCCAACATGTACACTAAACCTGGCTGATGCAATTCGTTGACGGACAGACCGTGTATCAACAACAAGGCTTTCGTCAATCGAAAGTTTATCACTAGAAGGATTGATGACCACATCCGCGATTTGTATCAGATCCAAAAGCTAAACAGGCTCTTGAGTACTATGTGATGACAGATGATGTGGATATCTACCTCCCGTTTCTGATTTCCTGCGATCAAGGGATCGAGGGCGAGGGCCAGACCAAGGTGAGTCATCTTTTCAAGGATGCGTTTTGTCCACTGGTTCACCTGAGGCGCGGCGGTAACTTTGTTGACAAACGTTTTTAAGGTGTCGACAAAGACCTGAGTCGTTTGTTGAGACTTGAACACTTGACGGAACGTTGAACTAGAAGAATGAAGATCCATGATCTTTTCGACAAGGTTCTCCATGTACGATTCGGTCGAACCTGAGGTGATTGAGGGATTAGCAAGACTTCCAGATCAGTAATATGCTCAGAACACACCATTCAGGCTTGTATCAGAGTGTTGACAAGCGTCAGCAACCGAAACCAATCCACTCTGCAATGCAGACAGTATTGCGGGGAAAATGCTTGGACAAACGACAGTATTCGGCATCTGCGCGGGTGACTTCTTGATATGATTAAATCGACCGAGAAGTATGTCAAAACACGTCTGATCGACTCTCGGATCCCAACAATACGGAAGGACAGTTTTCAGGACGCTCCAACCACTGATTAGTTCGAACTTCCTTGCGAAGGAGGATGATATTGTGTTGCTCACACCAATCAGGGTGAGTATTTGCGTAGCAATGCTGGGCGTCGGCCGATCGCCCAATAGCAGGAGACAGATGCGCGTCAGGGGAAGAGCGGCAGCAAATTGGGAATGGTAGGACGGCATCGAGATGGTGGAGATGAGGATTCCTAAAACTTGCTCAGCCTTCTCTTGGCTATTCGAGTAGTCTATGCGCGAGATTACTGAGTGTGGAGATGTCGCTCCTTTCGAATCTTCGTGCAGATTGGCAGCCAGATAGGCAACCACGGGTTTAATGGTGTCCTCTTTAGAGAAGCTGGAGCGAATCGCAGCTTGAAGTGCATCCATAATGAAGGGCACTGTATCACGCTGAAACCAGTCCGTTTGCAACACAAATAATAGCTTTCTGACAAGTCCCAGTTTCGCAAACTTCTGGCGATTGTTGAACCTCCGATATCGACTTGTTTGTAGCAGTGTTGGGAAGTGTCCTAGATACAGATGTTGGATTTCTGTCTTTGTACGAGACCACAGTTCAAAGTCCAGCCCAATCGCTCGGTATGCTACTGTGTTCACGACAGTTGACTGGCTACAAAGAGATGAGTTCTAACCGATAATGTGGGTGAGAGGCAAACACATACTCTGGGAAGCGGAAATTCATCCCCAAGAACTCGAACAAAGTTTCAAACCCGGTGACATTAATCAAGTGAGCTTTGCTTCGCAAAATATCGGCCAGAATTTCGTATCCACCTAATTTGCAAAGAACTTGACGTCAGATACAAACAACACGTAGAAAAAGAGGTCGCCTACGGAGTCTCTCCATGTCCTCCGAATTTTGCCAACTATTCTTGAGTCCATCAGCAAATACGCCCAATGCTCTTGAAACTTCGTGCTGGGTCTGTCAAAGCAAAATCTCTACCGCAGTCAAATCGAAGTCGGTGAAATAACTTACATTAGCTGCCTGAACCAAGCGTAAAGCTACCGCTGCTCCCCCAATCTTCCACATCGCCATATCCAGGCAACCCACTTTGACGATAAACACATCGCCCTCTGTCCTAAATTCTCCCATGAAGCCGTTGACCGGCACGGTCGTGCTCGGTCCAGATTGTCGGGCATTAAGCGGCGTCACTGCAAACCCAATAGAGGATTCTGGTATCCCAAAGCCGTGCTTCACAGCCTTCAGGACTGCTGAATGACTCAAGGATGACGGCTGCTTGGAGGCGACAGTCGATAAGAACATGTTGAGCGAGGTTGACGCCTCATATGTCAGGAATTTAATGAGTGCAGGGTCCTGGAAATTGCCAGCGTATCGTGGGCCAAGGTGGTGGACGAGTCTGGGAAGGTCATCGCCTGCACGAGAATTGAATTAGAATCATCGCATACACAGCAAAATAGGAATCGTAGGACCTAGCGGTATAGTGAGAAAATATGCAGAAGCAATACACCAGCTCATCTGTGCCGCATTTGAAGGGTCTCCAATAGTGTACGTCCCGGATTGGGTAGACTCTGCCTTGGGATATGCCCATTCCAAGGTATCACTCAAAACGCCATCGACGAAAAACCGAATGGTGGGGTTGAAAGTACGGCTTGGATAGTATACAAGCGTTAAATGCATCCATCGAAGTTTTTGAACACTTGCGCCGCTCAGTATCACAGCCTCTTTTCCGGTGGACGTAAAGAGACGAATGCCGCCGTCCTGTTCGATAGACACACACACCACAACCTGGTCTGATAGGTTTATCGTGAAAAGACGGTGGGTTGACTGCGGAAATGATGAGATCCATAGCCAGATCTGTCGTTGGGTGAGCATCAAAGCGTTATCCATGTATGAGGCGCCTACCATGAACGTGAAGCCAGCAGATGGTAACCCTCTCAGATTATTTTCTCGAAGTACTAGTGCTGCTGGCGACTCCATCGAAAAGTGTTCTAACCATCTCGACTTGATACCGAATCGTATAACGTCTAATATTTCGGTGTCTAGCGTATTGTCTTCTTTGATTGCTCGTTGAAAAACGAGCCGTGCTTCAGATGTTGTTGCTCCCATATCGAGCAACCGACGAAGAAGTTTCTGTAATATATGTCGTTCTTTCTCCGTGACAGTAGGATCGCTTCTCGCGACGCAGAACCGCTGGAACAAGGAGCGTACCAGACCCAAGGTACTCAGGATGGCCTGGTTTCGATGACTAGCAAGTGACAACAGCTCGAATAATTTGAAAATGGCAAATCGCATGACGTCGTCACCAGCGGCAACTTGTGGGATCGCATTCCATAGAATCAAAATTGCTCCAGGCCGTCGTATAATGCCTAATCTCCCTTCAATTTCAGAGATAGTAGTGTCAAACCGGTCGTCTGGCGTCGCACGCAGTGTGGTGAAAGTGTCTGCCACGTTAAAGTCATGGGTGGCGAGGGCGAGCACCAGTCCTAAAGTATGGTCAACGGTCGTAGGGTTCAAAATAAGCCCGCGCAAAGAATCCTCGAGTGAACCATAACCGACAATGTTCTATGTTCCCGTTAAACCCCAAACATAAAGAAACTTGACGATAGTCACGCACACTGAAGTACTCTGCATTCCCAACATGCGCATGCATAGCTTCTGATAGATTCAAGAGGATAAGATGTGTTATTTCAAGTACGTCCGCCAGTATCTGCTGCGCTGGTTCGACTATAAGGCTAGTAGAACGATCCTGGGCATTTGACAGCATGCTCATCAGGATTAGGAACCCGTCGAGCTCCCTGAACACGTCTTTGGTGTGTGCGTCTTGCTGCATAATCCTATGAATCTCGGCTAATACCTGTTCAGATGGTGATTTCAGAGACTAAACAACTCTGCATAGCATAGTTAACGCACCTGAATCCGCGTTCTCGTATCTTCTGCGAGCTTCAAGTTCTCCACGGAATTTCTCATCAGTTCTATTATCACATCTCGTGCGAAATCCTCCGGAGCCACCTCATCTTCCTCCTGTGGGGCCAGTACAGGCGTCGGTGTCTTGGGTGAGAGATCGAAACGCGCGCGTAAGGGGGTTAATAGGGTCCGCAGCATGGCTTTAGAAGTGTGAGTGGTTAGGTAGGTGCATAACCCAGGGATTGTCAGCGAAAGATACGCTCAATGTCGAGCTAGCAAGAACTTCACTTGACGGATAGTGATTGAGTGACAAGGCATGGTGATTGTCGCAGTGATGAAGAATCAACAAAGGTTTGTCCCTGACAATGACCTTGACACTGATTGACATCACACTCTCAGCCTCCAGAAGTTAGTTCTACGGCTAGTATACGCGTTGCTCAGAGATGATATCGCACGACACTAAGAACAAGAATTATGAGAGCGTCGAGGCCTTAGCGATGATGATGTTGCTGGATCTTCCGTGGTTCCAAACAGGTCAGTATGTCGTCCTTGGTTGTTGACAACTAGTCCCGATCTACAATCCTCCTCGCATTTTCTACTGAGTGGCCCATGGATCATTGCAATCTGTAGTATTCCCTGTACTTACAGCTTCGGGCCAGGTAGTTAAGGTATTTCCATCGTCGCCACAGGAGAATTTTGATCTGGGGTGGCGATCCACTGGTAACAAGAAAGATGGGTTCAATGGCTTTCGGTTCAGAAGGTCTACCATCTCCGTCGAGCCCTGCCCAGGTGAATGGTCATCAGGCCGTCAACAAAAGACCAGGTTCAAGATATGAGTAACTTATACCAAAGGTTTTGTTTACATTCCATCTGAAGATGTTCTCTGCGGCGAGACACAGCGCGTTATGCTCTCGCGGACAGACAATATGAAGAGTTGTTGAACCACTATCGAGAAAGGATTACTTCCACGTCCATAGTGTAGAAAGAGCCTTGCTGGCAGAATAGAGATTGCGTCTATATCCGAATTGGAAAATATATCTGGAGCCTCACATACAAACCCAAACCTACGAATACTTATCGTGAACACCCTCGTCGACTGCACTGTTCACAAGCCGTTTGCTAACACGTATGTCTTCTGCAGCCAATCCATTCCATCCTTGCTTGGACCAATGTGTCCAGCTGGAAGTTCGGTCGCAGCCGGACACTCCTAATTTCCCAGTTCATTTGCTTCACCTGCATTTCAGCGAATAAAAAGACCTACTGTGATAGTCAACAGTGGAGATTGTGGGAATTGAACCCACGGCCTCATGCAAGGTCTCAAGAAGAATGAATGCGAAGCAAGCGCTCTACCCCTGAGCTAAATCCCCAGTAACCTTGACTTCCCTACGAGAATTCAAGATGGAAGAGGGGTTAACGCAGGGACTCAGGACGAAGAAATCGACACCATGCTCTTCTAGTAGTACAAGATCCGTGATACTCAAAAGATTGGTTTGAATCTTCAGCCTCAAAAGACATATCGAAGACTGGCGGAAGCCGAGTAGCCCTGAGAGGTTCGCACAGGCAGGTTACGTTCGACCATACCATCCAGTCACAAGGGCCAAGCAGTGAGGCATGATCGAAAGCCTCGAGAGGACTGAGTTTTCGTTCGTGGATGTTGAGGCTGGAGCTGAGCACAGGTGAGTCAAATGTGATTTCTAAAGAGTTATCAATGGAATAGATGCGACAGGCATAGACGAGTTTCAAATTTGTAGCTGCATGTACGCATGTCCAAGTGGCAGAAGTTGACTTCCTAATATTAAGAAAATTAAGAAAGTGCAAGCGTGTTGGAAGTTGAAAAAGTTGCAAGAGCTTTCTCGGCAATGGAAGACGCATGCCATCTATACGTGACCAGTTCGGCATACCTTGAACGTTGACGTTGAACGTTGAACCTTGGCTGGCATTACAATTTTTGTACGCTTCCTCCTCTCGAACACTCCAGAGTTCTACATGTAGCAGGAAGAGGATACAATCTCGACGCTTTGCTATGAAACCCATTGTTGCCGCAGGACGAGGGACTTGAGGAACTAGCATGCAAACGTAACATAAAATTCAGTCATAACTTCAATGAAATAGGTTTTAATTCGCACATTCTAAGTTCGTGGCACACGCAGGTATACATGATAAAGATAACCTCTCCTTTGGTCAAACAGGATTTCGAGCTTTGGGCCATATTCTGTTCCGGCCATTTCTTCCCGTGGGCACAGCTATTTCCATGATCGGTACACTACAATCCAGAGGTGAGGGACCCTTTGAGATGGGATGACGCATGTCTGACGAAATTAACTTTGGAGTCTTAGGTTGACCATCCTTATCAAGCCCTGTCCGATGATAAATTGTCTTCAAACAACCAGGTTCAAAACAGAATTAACGTACCAAAAGTTGAGTCTCCACACTGGATCATCATGCTTCGAAGAGAAGACAATAGCCTAACCTTCGGCGAATGCGACAGCCCAAGTTGACCCCAGACTGCTCTTGAGAAACGATTCCACCGCAGTGCGCTCTCCAGAAACAATGGTGCTGGCAGAATAGAAATTGAATCCGCATCGATTAATGAAACCTCTAGCGTCTCTGGATCA